AGGCGTCTGTACAAGTTCAGCACCAGCAGTAACCAATTTTGTTCCCACTTTTATTTGACCACTTTCAACAAGATGTGTAAGCATACAATCAGGGACCCAGTCTATGTGGTACCAACCGTCTGTCAGGCGACCCTTGAAGCGGAAAACATTGCTGAATAGAGCCAAAAATACCATTTTATTGCTGTAAAACATATTCGCCAAATTCAACCTTTGCTTCATTGACAGCTATGAAGATATTCATTCCAATTAATGCTAATACAGAGAAGAAGCTTCACCCCTCCAAAGAAACTATGATTTCAATGGCTGATTTAAAATGACTTACTCGATATTGGTGGTCAGACAGGTTTTCTAATTGGCTCACACAGAGCACAATTCTCTTTGCCGGAGTGTCATCACGCTCCAAAATTTTGCGAACGGGCGACCTGTAAACCAAGAGGTAACTTTTTTCCTGCTCTTTAAAGCTACCTCAGTCGATTCTATACTGTATTTCGGGAAGGATTAACAGTTTGCGGGACAGTGCGTTAGTTATGACTAGAATCAGTGACATGCAGGGTAATATCTGTGATTCGATTAGATGTTGGTTTAGCTAAATTTACCTTCCGACAATGAAACTTGATATAACACACATTTCTGTTATTTGGGCAGAAAATTGAGACAAACACATCATGAAAATATTCGAAAAACAGGCACAACATCGTCAAGCTATGAACGTCAAATTTTATCGAGGATCTCAAAATCAAACATATAACCATTTATGCAACAAAAAAGCATGAAGCCCAACGACTCAACACCTGTTCCGATTTGCTAATCACATCTTTAAATCCGATAATCAGGAATAAACAGTCCATGTGAAGAATAATTTTATACTTCAAATATCAACTAGCAAGAGATGCGTCCTATAAATAATGATAAATGGGGTCTACTTCAGACCTGTCCTACAGCTGAAACGATGTGTACGTACAACAATTATGAGCAGCACAAGATATGCGAATAAATTACCGTTCCACAGCCTCTAACTCTCGGTCATATCTGTACTTTAGTTCGAGAAGTAAAACGTGCAAAAGAAGGCGTCCGTCCGTCCGCTGAATGGTGGAGTCGGGAAGGGAAAGATTGGGAAAAACATTGTCCACAAGGCTCCTGTAGTGCATCAAGGCCACACACCCGAAACGCCAAGCAATTTGGGCGTAGTGGTGAGTTATCCATCGACGAGAAACCAAACCGTCAGTCACCATAGGCGAGCATACGAAGGCCCTTTCAGAAAAAATTTAATAATCCACTAGACTAAAACTGAGAAAAAATGCAACTAGTACTAAGGAAGCAACATTTAGCTATGTTAAAGCGAACCAACATCGTTCGGGTGGCAGTTTGCAACGCAAAAGAGCGCTTTAGAACAAGGATAATGGCTAGCTGGGGCGAAGAATCAAGTAGGATTATTGGGCTTGCTACGTAAATTCTAATGCTTGCGTTTAATAAGTTAAAACACTAATAGCCCTATCTTGCCATACCTAGCAACTTCAAAACAGCCTGCGTAGCCGAATGAATCTGGAATGACTTCAATATCATCGCCGAGGCGATAACTGACATTCACGCTACCGGAGTCTAATTTAAACCTCAACTTCGAAGCCGAGCTAATAGAGAGCGAAGGAGCATCATCCAATCGGAGAAAGTCGTCGGCAAAGTGCATATTCTTTTCAAACGAGTAGGAAACACCGTAGGGAAGGAGACCTTTGTCAATAGGACAACCGCTACACTTTCGCAATCTCCACAAGATCCCAGGCGTCGCAGGCCCTTGGACAATTTTGTGAGCGATTGAATGGGCTGATGAAGACCCACCTGTTAAAGGCTTACGATAGGGAGAGTTAAGATGTGACCTAACTGACGAGTTAAAGTGGCAATCGGCCTCAGTCTTCTGCACCAAACGCGCTTCAACGCGTTGGTTTTCAAGCTCCAATAACTTCACATGACCCGGAGGTTGAGACAAATTTCCCTCAATTGCGTCTATTATTTGAGAAGATATTTCAAAGGATCCATCGAAATCCAAAGTGGGGGACATCCCACCGTACGCATCAGAGGTCGCCAATTCACCATTATCTAACAATCGCAATTCAACTCCTTCAAGGTTTGGATCATTTTTTAAATCAAGAACATGTCGGCTAGGCATATCTGTGGCTTCCTTCAGAGTCACATCAGATATAGGAGTGAGGAACTTTCTCACGTCCGAGGTAAATCCACCCGAGTTAGCCTGATTACAAACACTGCTTTCCCCGCATTTCTCACCTTTGGTTTTTTCAAATAATTTTGTCACAGGACCAGCGTAATGAGATGCACCGCCACAGCGTGCCATGAAGTCACTCCTCTTACCATTGTTGGGAGTTTTATTTTCATTGCAGTCTTCAAAGCAATCTTTCAATAGATGCCTAGCCTGTTCCATCGACCCGCTGGAAGTCAGCATCAAAGGTATGCCGCGACCGCTCACAAAGCCGGTCTTGGGTAAATTGTCATTTTCAGTCTTGTTATGCGAGTCGCGCACAACCTTACAATCCCTCGGAGTAACCTCGGTTTGATTAGAAGAATCGGTAGAAAATTTGCTAGATAACAAAGACTCGGCAAGACTTTCATTATTTCCATGAGTTCCATGTATGCCAGACTCCCTCACAACATTCTTGGCGAACGGCACCTTGTTAACTTTGTTACCTAGAATGTAATTTACCAACTTCTCATTTTTAAACTCACTAGACCTCATCGCTTTGAGATAAGGTGTAAAGGAACGATCAAAACCCAGACCGCGACGACAGGGCGAAGTGAAATAGGAATTGATGTGACTCATTTTTCTCCCATCAGGCGATTCGCTTGGGCCTGAGTAAGTCCCAGATTCATTAAATCGATCAATGCATTCTTCTAAAATACGCTTTACTCTACACCGAGACTCAAAAGAAGGCGTTTTTAAAGCAGTTCCTGAGGCAGTTCTAAACCCAGTGCTCGAATCGCGACATTCGGATCTGGACCGAACAATTCTCGACGGTTGGTCAAAATACTCACATGTATTAGGAGGAATTTCTCCATCAGATGGAGCAGCATTCTCTTGAAGCACTAAGCTGGATTCTCATAAATTCGAAAAGTTACCCAGATCTGCACTGGAGTTCTCAGGTCCACTCGTAAGTTCCTCAAGCAAACGCTTCGCACGATTTAAGGATTGATAAGAAGGTGCCTTCAGAGGACCTCCCGCTGCAGTTTTAAAACCACAGTCAAGCTTTGAAGACGCGTGCCCGAGCAAACTTATATTTTGAGCTCCATTGTTCTGGTTCGGTGAGTCATTACCATTGTTTGAAGGGTTGCCTTAATAAAACACAAGAAAGTATTAAGTTTAACAAACTCTTGCCAACATACCTTGAACTGGACATGGTTTTACCAGTTGATCCACAAGGTTATTAAAAGATTGCCCTGAGTGACTTAAAAACTCACAAGAAGGGGCATTTAAGACAGCTTCATCCGTACTTTCAAATCCGCAGTTGGGCCGTGAATCTGCACCTCCGGGCGAACTGTTTGTTGGCAATAGATCGCAATGTTCCTCTACACAACCAACAAAACCTATTTTAGAGTGTGGCTGTAAAATCTCTCGTGATAATATCAGTATAGGCACATAACCACTACACCTTTATCTAAATCAGCATCGACCGCAGTTTTTTCAAGCAATTGTGTGAGATTAATGGCATCAAAGGCGTCGTCGAATGCCAATGAGCATGGCACTGAAACTTCTTTATTTAATTTAAAAACCTCTTCGCCTTTTTCTGCGTTGGTGTTACATTTAGGATAAATGAAATCCATGAAAAAACGCAAACAATGTGGCTGGCGACTAGAAAATTCGGGCTGCGAAACGCTTGGTGAGCGGAACACAGAGTTGCAAGAGGAAACTCTGTCGAAACAAGCGACTCCACTGTTATTTGAGTCCAGCCTTGAACCTATAAAAAGGTACATCGTGCAAACCATAGAGTTACGATCGGCAAAAACAGGACAGCGTAATTGCTGGGTATCAGTAGTTATGGACTTGGATATGTCCTTGTCCAAATATTCTTCCGACGTATTTGAAGAATTATTTGAAACTTTATCAGATACTTCCATCAGGCAAATCGGAGACTTCTCGACGGCCTCTCCTTTGTATGCCGCGCATCGTACACTGATGGGTAATAACGGCAAGGGTGTCATAAGATTTAAACTTTAGCAAGTGCAAAGCCAATAATTGCATTTCCTTCATATACAAAAATGTTTTATATGGTCAACACTTAAAATGCTCCTTTATATGACGGATTTTTTGCACATCATTGTACTACAAAAGTTAGCCCTGGCTAATGGCAGGTACTTTTATCCACTATCTAATCAGGGCTTCAAATAGACTTAAGTACCAATTTATCCTCATAAAATAGCAGCAGTTTTAATGCTCATTCGCCTTGTAATAGCGTTTTATCAGCCTAGTCAGCATGGCACACCGCAACCCTCTATACTTGCACTTCGGGCCTGCTTCGACTACCTAACCGTGGAAATATGCACTTACAAGAGCCCAAGTTCCGTTTCTGATGACTAAGTCAATCCTACTTTAACGTCTGTACATAGCACAAATGTGTTCTATGCGACTCAGCAAACGAGACCCCAAAGTCACTACCACCTAGCAGTCTCGGAAACGACCTGGCAGATCGCCCTCGCGGCCTCTAACCGTCACACTAAATCTGCATCACGCAATGCCCTTGAGTTGATTGTTCCTGGGCAAAAGCCCTTAATAGCAGTGAACACAAACACCAGACGCCGGACGTCTGAGAAGAACAGCAGACGCGCAGGAACCGATGCTGACATGGGGCAACAAGGAGTCGAACGTCAGCAGTGTATTTGTAATAACAGCCAATAACAGTCAATTAAGATTTGGTCGGTGTGAAAGTATAGAGCTGTACACTTCACAAGATAAGGAGATACCGCTATACACGCAATTTCAGAGACGAATTAGCAGAACCCTAGATACTGGTTGTCTCCGCTGCATTTGACCTGGCATTGTCAACGTTACTAGCCCTCTTCCGCCTCTGCCTTGTCGCTTTTTTGTTAGCATACATGTGAGCATCCAGTTTATTCTGCGCATTGCCGTTCACGTCAGCGTTTTCATCGTAGGAGAGAGCATCAAGTTTTTTGACTACCAGATCAAACTCTTCATTGTCCTGGCACGAAGGTGACAGTTTGGAAGAAGCCTCATTAGGAGTAGCAGCTGGATTTTTACAAATTGTCGCGTTGAGGTGACTTTCCAGAGCCGTCTCAGTGAAGAAGACATTTGCAAGAGGGTAGAGTAGTGAGCACTTGTCACGAAAACTATTAATGATTTCATTTGTAACTGGGGCTAATTTTAGGTTCAAATAGGTTCTTAAAACCTCCAAAGCCTCAAACAATACCTGAAATTTGGAATACCAAAAATAGAAAAGTTAAACAGATGACGCCTGAAGAAAACGAACATTACCTGCCAGGAGACATCGCCAAATTCCTTTTCAGTGGGTGATGGCAATTGCTTCAGGAAATCGCTTGAAGATCTTGGCTCAATTATAGTCTTGGTGAGCATACCTAAAGAGGAATTTAAAAAAAAAAACAACAGGAGTTCAACCACATTCCGACTAAAATAGCAACTTTAGTTCGCCGAAAGTTTCATTCACCTCATTTGACCGAAAACTTTTCATATGCGTACTTACCTCGGAAAACGTGCAGGAAAGACTTAGAGTTTCGCTTCATGAAGTTGTCATTAGTTTCATCGGCTCGAGGCAGTTCATTGTCCCCGAAAATGGCATGCACTTCCTGCAGCAGGACCTCGTGCACGAGATTGCCAGGTTCCGGTTCTAGTTCCGACATGCGTATTAGAAATCTGCAGAGGCATTCATTGAACCAAGGATGATCTTTCGCCGTAGGCAATTTGATTCCCCGACGGATGGCACGAAGCATCAAGAGATACTTGCCTATGATACAAATTCAATTGAAAGCATAAACTCGTGAGATGCGATTAGCGGTCGTCCTAAACCTCGTGTGGTGTGAATAAACACTTCTCTTATAACTTAAAAAACCGAAGCATACTGTATTGTAAGGTAATAATGAAATGAAAGCCCACCTTTTCGCTCGAAGACCTCATAAGCGAGACAGTGAGTCTCGACTCGATTGCCTGATAGGTCGATTAATGGTTGGAGAAAGCGAGAGGCCTCGTTTAGAGCATTTTCAGGCTACAAAATGAATAAAACGGTTGACGTGATAAAATTAACTTTGAAAATAAGAAGCACACTAAGTCATTCTGACATAAAACATATAAAATTTATCTAAAGCACATCGATTGGGATGATGAAGACAAAAATTACCCGAGCCAGTTTTTGTGGTGAAAGCTGCTCGACTTCTGGTGGCCGGTTTTCAGGGTCCTCATTTCTATCTCTATTACGCTGGTGATTTTGATGTTCCCTCTTCCTTTCGTCCTCCTTGCTGACTTCTGCTCGACGCTCAGCCCGACGTTGCTTATTACGTAGCTTCTTCATTTCTGAGGATGATGGATTGGCTGCAAATTGAAAGCTTCCGACTCAACATCATAATAATGTATAGCTAGATTCAGATTAGTAAGGATCGTAAGTGCAACAAGTTATCCAAACCTAGTCTGGAGACACGTATTTGCTGTTTTCCAAAGCAGTTGAAAATACCTATAAGAACCTTTGTCGATCACGGATTCGTACAGAGGCATCTACCAATATGAAAACACTTAAAGTTGTGCAGAAGCAATGATAAGAACCAGGTAGGGGAAGTACCAACAATCCAGCTCCAAGTCCCGCTCTGAGAATAAAGCATTAGGCTAGTATGACCTCCCTAAAGCTAATAAGTGGAGGTAGTGCTAAAGCTTCAATTGCATGACCGAAGAGGGAACTAGGCAAAGCCAATGGCAAGAACCGATTGAGCAACCATAATATGCGTCTGCAAAACACTTTAAAAGATAGTAGTATTGGTGACTGATCACGAGCAAAGACATCCTCAAGATCACTACTAGTTTGAAGTTGAGAGTTTTGTCTTTGCCCAAACCGAATGGGCTAATAATGGTCACTTCATGCTGATAAATAAAAAGCAAGGACGAATGACGTTTCAACCTCTACTTAAATGCCTACTTACCGCCTTGCTTGTTTTCTTCCTGCCCCTCACTGCCAAGTGGATTTACATGCAAGTACAAGTATATCTAGAAAAATCAATTTTTAAAAATGGAACAATGAAATTCTTAGGCTTCATTCCCGATTTTTAGATCAAGCACATTTCGCAATAAAGAGAAAATGCTAGAAAAGAATGGTTCCGCCAATATTGCACATTACAAAGTGGAATAAAGTATCACGTGCCTAAAAGCCTCAAAGCAGATTTGCCGAACGATTGAGGTAGCAAAAAATGCAAAATTTGTTAACACAAAATATTTAAATCCAAAAAAGCTAACTTCGATAGCCAAACACGCAGCATCAAAATACGCTGGGTGGTCACGGAGACGATCCTCTAGCCGAATGGTTTCAACATACGACCTCAGAGTGCCTTTTCGTAAGCAGTAGGAATGGAAGTCAAGTTGATCTTCGAGAACGGCGGTGTAAGCCTATCAAACAAGTAAGAGAAATCCAAAATAACAAATTTACTCGGTCGATTTCGTGACAAAATTTCAGTGCTTCCCCATATTTCTGCATTGCTTTGTAAGAACGAGCGTTTTCTATCAAAAACCACATACACTGCATTTCGATCAGATAATGGGTGGCTGTAGTGCTACCCCTCGTAAACTTTGAGGCCATTGCCTCAGCGTCTCCGATTCTATGAGCCTGAACCATATACTTTGTACACTGAGCATTAATAAATCTGTCTGCGGTGTCTAGTGACTGAGCTTCATCCATCCATCGACTGGCAGTTATAATATCACCGGCATCTCGATAGATTTCGGCTTTCAGAACGTAGAGATCAACAATGGTGGGATTAATATCGATTTCCTTTGAAACAACAATTAACGCTTTCTAAAGGAAAAAAAATGACTGTGGATGGTGAATACTTGTGTCTGCCTCATGAAGTTATAGTGTTGAGCAATAAGATAATTGAGCCACAGCGAAGTTGATGGCGGCTCAATTGCAGCATCGTCCGAATATGGTGATTTCAACTTTCCGTACGAAACGGGGCCTAGAGTCCCATGGTCATCTAGATTTGCACGATAAGTCAAGTAGAGATTCTCCAGAGTGGTTCGTCTTGCATCAGACTTGTAGAACCGCTTCAGCTGAACAAAAAGATTGGGAACACCCTTTCGAAGGTACTTGCGCATAAAAATATCAACGTGAAAACCAAATTCATCACCTAAACCGCAAATCACTCATCAGAATCTGGAGATACCATCCAGCGTTTCCAAAAAGAGCAGTTTTGGAAGCCGAGCCGACGAAAACTTTTGAACGCACTCTCCCAACATTTTACGCTTCTCAGCTAATTTCATTGCACAATTCGTCCTGACTTCATTCACTTTATAAAACAACTCATAGTAAGATTTGCAGTCAGGATTGCGTTCAAGAAGTTGCCACACAATACTTTCAGCCTCGTCGACCCTACCCAAATTCAGAAGAAGACCAGCTATGAAAAAGTCGCTTAAAGGTGATCAATTACCGTAGGTTTCCAAATATGAGACACTATCGACAATTTCTTTCGCATGCACATCCATA